CGGAAGAGCTGTTTTTTATCCAGGAGAGTCTCTTTTTTGTCCGGAAGAACGATTTTTTGTCCGGAAGAGTTATTTTTCGTCCGGGAGAATCTGTTTTTTGTATGGGAGAACTGTTTTTTATCCGGATGAAAAATAATTTTTTTCGGATAAAAAAATAGTTCTCCCGGATGAAAACAAGTTCTTCCAGATGAAAACAATTGTCCCGGATGAAAAACAGTTCTCCTGAATAACATAATTTCCAAAAAAATATGTTTTTCATACTGCACATTTTTTGGAGTGCTAAATGGTAATATTGAGAATAGATAATAAAATAAAGATATTTTTATCAAAAATTTATATAAAGATATAGTTTACGAAGAAAAAAAAATATAGATTTTCAATGACATCACATATTTGATCTAACAAATTTTTTTTAAAAACAAAAAATAGAAGGGTGAAAAGCAGAGTGCTGATGGCCACATGGCGTTTTGCCTCCTCTCCTCCACGGTTGCATCGGCCATCCACACAGTCCACGTGTCAATATTTTAGCCAATCCTTTGTGTACGACGTGGACCCATATTTTCACCTTTTTCTTATTTTTCGAAATTCCAAATCAAATATTTTTTTCCATCGAGCTATGATAACGTCACCCTGAGAAGACCCAGATTCTTATGTGCTGGCATCATTGATAAGTCGACACGTGTCCCTAAACCTTGACATTATTGCGATCTTATCGAATCTCTTCATTCAAAGTAGTGGAAAACTTAACACTGCTCTTGTTATTATATAACTCGAAAGCAAACATATACCAAAAGACAAATCCTCAAAATCTAGGGTTTCCTCGGATCCAATTTTTTTCCTTTTTTTTAGAAGATACTTCGATTGCTGCCAGCGTGTGAGTTGTGTCCCAATCGCTTCTCTTACGAGCTTTTCCATTGGTGGTTGTTCGATTTCTATAAATTTTTCTGGGTTTTGTTTTAAAATTTCTTCAAAGTCGTGAGTGGTGCGTTTATAGGGTTCCGAGAAATTTTCTCCCCGGAAGAGGGTTTCACTTTATTGGAGTTGAGAGGCTTTTGCTGCGAATTCCGTCTGGTATGTTGGTTTCATGTAATGGCTTCGCTTTACTGTTCTTGAATTTTATTTCCTGGGTTTCGAGAAGGAACTAGAATCATGATTTTGGTGCCAAGTAGTTGGCTTGGCAGGGCAAGCTCTAGGGTTCATAATAGATTAGAAATCATGGGATTTTTGTGTTCTGATATGTGTAATCGAGGCTTGAAGAAGTTTAGGATCGAGGGTTTTGTATGAAAATGAAATTGCATTGTTTGAGGCAGAGAATTCTTCGGCCTAGTGATTAATCATTGTTAGGTGTCTTTCCTTTAAAGTTTAATCCTATGATTTTTATGGCTGAGTCAACGTACTCACAATGGCTGACATGCTTTCAAGAGATGCAATCGAAACTCGGAGGTGGAAATGAAGCAGAATCCAATTCCCATGTAGTGCCCCACCCGATGATGTATCAGGAACCATGGTGGCGAAATAACGCATTCGGTACGGTATCTCAAGCCAGAACCACTGCAATTCCATCGAATTCGTCGTCTTTGGATTGCTCGAATGGTTCAGAGTCGAACGATGTCCAGTCAGAGTCCGAGGATGGTGCTCTGAACGGTGGAACTTGTAAGGATTCACAAGCAGCAACTTCCGTACGCTCAGGTATTTGTTCGACATATCATTCCATCGATCTGTATGGTGCCCAATCGTGCATACTTCGATTAACTATAGTTGTTCATGTGCTTAAATTCTCGAAAGAAAGAAAAGGGTTTATGTATCCTGCAATAGGAAGATCGTTCTGAATGCTAATTTTGCAAAGAACTCTTCCTCGAGTTGGCAAGGAAAATAAAAACTGGGGATCTTTTGACTTCCAGCTTTCTAGGCCATCTAAAGGGCATGAGGTCAAAAATTTGTTGCATTGTAAAAGTTGAATCTGAGATAAAATAATTAAAGATTCTTGTGTTATACCCAACCTTTTTAATTTCTTGTGATACCTTTTGGATGCTAGTAATAGGTTTTTTTACCTTTGTATATTCCCTCCTCTGTTTCATGGAAATGTAGCATGGCATAGTTTTTGTAACAGATATGTTTTCAATTTCAGTAGAAAATCGTGGACATGATGGCAATGACATGGCGCATATGTCATCATCTATGTCAGCCATGCATGATCAGCAGCTCGCACAACCTCCAGAGCTTGTTGGACACTATATTGTAGGTTTTCCCTCTATTTTATCATGTGAAAGATCTCCAGGATGGTCTCCTTAATTATATGTGCGCTCAGTCGTTGTCGTTGAGCCAAAATGTTAACAGTGCCCAAAATTGTAAATCTTGTAGTATATTTTTAGAGGTGACTGTCAACTTGTATACTATTTCATTTACAGGCTTGTGTCTCAAATCCATATCGGGATCCATACTATGGTGGAATGATGGGAGCTTATGGTCATCAGCCATTGGTACATAATCTAAATTCCTCTTGTCAATCTTATAGCAAAGAAGGGTCCAATAGTCTCAGTTCATACTCTAAGACTTTTACTGGATGAATGTAAACTCTTACTCTCTGTGGAATTGACGTAACTTATTAGGTTTAGTGGTATACTGTCCAAGTTTTCATCTCGGCTAAACTAAACTAAATCCTGAGGGGAGGCTCTGTTGGTCTTCGTCTTACTCTTGCCTTCTTGAAAGGCAAAGCTCATCGGCAGATGACGTCATGTGATTTCTTCTGTTTGCAGGGTTTTCCTCCATATGTTGGGATGCCTCGCGAGAGAACTGCTTTGCCACTTGACATGACACAAGAGCCTGTTTACGTGAATGCGAAACAGTACGAGGGAATACTAAGGCGAAGAAAAGCTCGTGCCAAGGCGGAGCTAGAAAGGAAAGCTATTAAAGATAGAAAGGTAAACTCCATCTCTTCAATTTCTCCGTAGCTTATAGGGCTGGGCAAGGGTCAGATACCCGCGTTTTTGGAGATACCCGTCTTCGTTTTCGTCTTCGCGGGTTTTAGAGAAATGCTAATTTTGTCTCTATCTCACAACATCCGGGCCAACGGGTACCCATAACTAAAAGACGGATACCCACGAATACATGTACCTGTATATAAAATATTAACCAATATAAAATTAAACCAAATAATCAACAAAAATATATATTTTTTAGTCCAAAAACACATTTAAAAGTTTGAAAATTCTTAAAATATAACAATATGCATAGAATCCTAGAAAAAAATTCAAAATACGAAATGATTTGAAGTTGAATTCACCAAACTTGAAAATCTAATATATAATCTTGAAAAAAAGTAGAAATAACCTAAATATTTTGATAATTATATTAAGAATATAAGGGTAATTTTGTAATTTTAATATATGCGCGGGTACCCGCAGGTTATTTCTACTCGGTAGCTTACTAGCTTATAGGAAATGCGCCGAAAAAATCTTCAAATAAGATCGCATTACTAGTACTATTTCCGTTTAATTGTGTCATTTCTTGCTAGAAAGTTAAGTGAATAAAGTATTGTAGTCTTTATGAAGTCCGGTGGCTTTTCTTTGCTGCAAATAAATAGGCAAACAAAACATATGTTCAATGATGGAATGTTTATGTCGGTATGGTAACTGGTGATTAAAACCTTTTTTTTCCCGTCTAGCCTTGGGCTTCTTCATCTTCTTTATCACATCGTGTGCACTTTCTGTCTGTTCCACATTTGATAGCCATATCTTCACGAGTCACGCCACCGGCACGCAATGAGAAGGCCAAGAGCTAGTGGAGGAAGATTTGCAAAGAAATCCGAGGTTGAAGGTTCAGAGACCGCATCGAAAGAAAGAGAAACCGGATCTGCTGAATCCCATTCCGCTACCAACTCATCGGGTTCTGAACCGAGACCCTGAATTTTTCATAGATGACCTGCCCTCTCTCCCTCTGGTTAGCCCCAAATAGGAAGCTAATCTTCATTGGGGGAACTTCGGTTACTATATATCTCAATCGCCAACCATTCTTGAGTCTTTTCTGTGTTGAGATTTAGTGGGAGGAAAGTTCATGTACACGCATGCAGCCCCTGTTTCTGTCGATTTCCTGTGTTTGCCGATTTTGTACAGAAGAGAGCGTATACTCTGAGTATTAGGGTTTAGATTCGGACACAGGTGAAAGTTGTCGGATTCTTGAAAACATAGGTTTTCAATCTATATTCGAGCTGTAACGTGTTATTGAGGAGATGTATTATTTATTACATTTGATTTTTGTTCTGCTGTGCCAGAATCGTTTCCTCAACAGCAGCTGAATCGCATGAATCCAAACTTAATTTTCTACTATAATCTGGACATCTGAAACAGACAGATCCTGTTCAACAACTGCTGCTATCTTCTTGATTCATAGTGTCGTCCTCATGTTCCGAGCTTGACTGGTTTCTGTCTGAAGATTCGGTTGGTTCGGTTGCATTAGTTACGACAGGGGGCTCCTCTGGCTGCTTCTCCATCATCCCGGAGAGAGCTAGCTTTGGAGACCACTCCAGTACATCATCAATGATGTTTGTCATTCGCTTGTGATATCTGCGAACACCCAAATTCCATAAAATCATCTTAGACTGGAAACAAAACCCGGAATTTTGGGGCACCTGACCTTATCCACAGGTCTGGTACTTGAAATTCTGATAGATTTTTTGCCTTGACCACTAAATGAGATCGGATTATAACTTGAAGAAAACACGAAAACTATATTTGAATTCGGATAGTTGGGTCTGAGATCAAGTATTATCTGCGGCAAGTATCCGAATGAGAAGTATATTGGTTTTAGATACAATACATATCTTTTGAAATTCTGGATTAAGTTTGGGTAAAACAAAATATTGAGCAACCCACCCAAGTCAGTCCCTAAACCCATATCGTTTCCTAGGCAACAGTTCGGGAGAGAGAGAGAGAATACTGACCTCGCTCTGGCAGCCTCATCCGGAGCATGGTGCCTGAGTAGCAAAATGACAACTACAGCTACGACGGCGTAGAAAAGTCGTGATGTCCATTTGGGAGGTTCTTCTTCGTCTTTCTTTGGCCAGAACCGGAAAAGCTCCTGAAGTGTTGCTTCTTCTGCCAGAATGTTGGGGAAGAACCATACCCTCTTTCCAAGAAGGATCCATATGGCACCAAAAGCCATTGCTCTCACTGCAACATCACAAGACCAAAAGAACAAGAAATCAATAGTACAACTCAATGTCTCTCTACCATACAACTGATAGAACGAAAGCATTTCTGTATGGACTGAGCTTTGACATTGAATGGCTTACACAACAGCAATGTTAGGATGAGCAGAAGGATGCCAGCACATGAATATAGGATCAATAGTTTCAACCGATGTGGATATATAGGAAACAAGCAAATTGCCAAAGTTAGTACGGGCCAGAAAAAGGAGAGAAGTGTTTGCCATAGAGGGTGTCTTTTAACAAATGTCCACGCAAAAAACGCATCACTTTCAGAGAACACTTGATCCTGCACACAACCAGCCACAATGCAAAATCATCATCAGCAAGTTCTTGACTTACTTTAGAAGTCAAAGCAAATTGCAAGAAAATAAGGAACCCATTGTGTTGTTAAGATATTAACGGTCCAGCCATTCATCAACAAGCAGTTTTGGGTAAACATTACTTTTTCAACTTCTGTTGAGATCACCGTTGTATGATAAAATCGCAAAAGAAAGATGCTTACAGGGAAGATCTCCAAATGAGCAGGCCAAGTAGATAGTTTTTTCTTTCCAGGACGAACTGTTTTCACAACACGGTCACACCTAACCAGAAGATTCTTCCGCAACAACGCATTGGCTATATTTTCTGCATCTAGATTTCTCTCTGATTCTAAGATATCTTTCGGCTCAGGATGTTTCTTCAAGAAGCTTACAAAATCCTTTCCTCTGAAATACTCGACTCGTGTTTCCTGTAACACGGCCCATCTCGATTCCAGATCCTTGTGGTCCCTTACTCTTTCAGCAAACAACTGGAAAACATCTTTCTTCGGAACTTGTTTCTGGAAATGAGAGCAGATAGGATCAGAGGAACAAACACTATGAACTCTAGACCCGCAATCAAAGCCTAAACAGGAAGAAACATGAAACCTATTATCCAAATAATTCTGAGGAGAGGTTGGTAACAGAAACACAACAACAAATACAAAACCCATTTTCACAATCTAATAATCATGATTTCCGTTATCACTGTGGACTAATAATAATTAACCCGTCATTACCAAAAATAGTAACAGCAATAGAATAAGTAAGCTTCAATGGAACATTTAGACAACCACACTAAGATAATTAGAGAACAATCATCCGCACTGTGCCACAACATAGAGGTTATCATAAGGCAAAACTAGAAAAGAATATGAAAATACTAGTTCAGCCTCTGTGCCTCCTCTTCTGGACAACCTTTGTATCGACAACCCATGGTTTTCAGACATTTTAAGAGATCAAAACTCCATGAACAATACCTATTGTAACTCACTTGTTCTCTGAGCCATGAAAAGTTCACAATTCACCCCTGAAATGTTGACCCATTAGATTAAGGCTCTCAACTCTTTGTTTTCCTTTTCTCACAAAACGAGATTGAGATTCACCGCATACTAATCTTGAAGCTGAGTGATGGAAATGGCCCAACATTGAACAGAAAAGAAAAGACACTTAGGAAATAAAAAACCATGATCGATTCAAACACTTACATTCACCGAACTCTCATAGACCCACTTGGATTTTCACGATGATACACATTCTAACTGACAAAATAGACATAATGAATCTGCAGACAGACAATTCGACCAGAACATCACCCAAATTCTACCACAGTTCCTCATCATCGGCGTAAACCCAACAGTAAAAACCAGATCATATAGCAGAAGAAGAGACAATATCACCAACTAAACAAAAAAAAAGAATAAAAAAAAGGGAACATAAAGAGAGCAAACCCTAGGAGGTTTGTCGGAGACGGGATCTCTGACGCCATTCTGTACCGATCTTCTCACTTTCTTCTTCTCGGCTCCTTCCGACTTCTTCATCTCCCTCCGAAATCTCTCTCTCTCTCTCTCTGATTTTTCGTTGTCTGAGCCAAAGAGGATCCGTTGTTGTCGTCATGTCGAAGCGCACAGTTTTAGGGTCAGTGACATGACCTGCATAACTGTAGCCAATAATATTATGCCACGTGGAATTGATGTTAATACTTTGTAAAACTCCCACAAAGTTTTGCACCTTTTCACCCATAAAAAAACAATTAAATAATTTAACGGAAAAACTCTTAAAAATTCTAATTTGATGGAAAAATAATTTGTATATTTGTATTATGTTTAATTATTTCTAAAATTGAAAAAATATGATATAATAATTTTTAAAAATATTATATTGATCTTTAACATAATTTGATCAAAATAATATTGTCATATAATCTTATGTGGTACGTGAGATATCAAGACATGTCAAAATTTTATATTATATATGTAGAATCGGATTTAATAAATTTGGTTTAACAAATTCTGAGTTTATAGCTAAAAAAAGACACATATTTTGATTTTGCTAGTATTAGTTGTAAATACTATAAGATTTTCTGTGATTTAAATTTTTCACCTGAGATTCGAAGAACTATTCACGACCGTATGCATTGCTAATGAGAGAGGAGAGAGTATGATTTTTATTGTACCAGATTTATTAGTATTTCGAACCGATTTTATTAAATCGAATTTATTAAATATGGTTCTGCATATATAGTACAAAATTCTGATATATATTAACATTTATCGCCACGTATAATTTTATAATAGTATTATTTTGGTTAATTTACGTTAAAGATCAATATGAGATATTTTTAAACAATTTTTAAACAATTTCAAGTTTAAAAATAATTAGATACATTAAAAAAGTATATGAATTATTTTTTCACTTAGAAAATTTTTATGAGTTTTTCCCTATGAATTCCAACAAAGTATTTAACTGGGGATATATCTAATCTACTCTTTGACTGCTGCAAGGACTTCTCTACCTACCTTTCAAAATCCAAATTAAAAAAAAAATGGGTAGAAGTGACGCAAAGACCAATTATACCCTCAAATTTTAATCAAAAGACGAAAAAACCAAATTAAAATTTAAATTAAATAAAAATAACGGTTCTCTCTCTTTCATACATCAGCCCACGTTCGCTCTCTCTCCTCACTGTCGTCATTTCCCTCTCTCTCCTAACTCTCGACATCTCCTCCATCTGTCTTTCGAAACCGCCGGTTTTGTGGCAAAAAACCGTCGATTTAAGCCGCGATTTTCCTCTCATAAGTCTCTGTCTTTACTCTCCTCAGATTCGAAGCACAAAGAAGGAAGAAAATGGCTTCTACGTCAGTGGTTCACTCATCTTCATCAGCATCTTCGAACGAGACCGATTCTCGAATCCAAATCGCGGAGTTAAATGAGCACATGGTACATCACTTCTCTTTTTCTCATATTTGCACGATTTTGAAAGTTTATATGTTTCCTTATTGTTTTGCCGTGATGATTTGAAATGATAGAAATCTAGGGTTTCGTATTTGAAATTTTAGGGATAACATTATAATCTTTGGTTTGAAGTGGTTAAAATCGAAATGATTTGTTGATTTGGGTCACAGTGATATAGGTGACGGGATGTATGGTTCGATGTTTGGACGATGAATGATATGTTGATTTGGGTCACAATGATATAGGTGATAGGGTTCGATGTAAATTAGGTCACATGATCGGTTCGATTGGTGATAGGTGACTTGGTCATAGTTCACAAGACAATAGGTCACATGGTACCAGGGCAATAGGTCACATGAGAATTGGTCACGTGGTACCAAGACAATAGGTCACATGAGAATTGGTGACGTGGTACCAAGACAATAGGTCACATGAGAATAGGTCACATAGTACTATGTCACATGGTCACAGGTTCACAGGACAATAGGTCACATGGTACTAGGACAATTGGTCACAGGTCAGAGGAGAATAGGTCACATGGTACTATTTCACATTGTCACAGGTCACATGATCTGATGTATTTTATTGTTGTGCAGTTGTCGTTTATGTACAAAATGGAAGACATTCAGTTCTCTCCTAAGATAAATACCAAGTGTTACCCGTCGGAGACAATAAAAAAAACTGAAAGACTTGTTAAGCCCTGAAGAATGGAGGTATTTCAGTCATGAGTCGCAGTTTCAGCATTTGTTTCACATGCAATTTGATGGCACGCTGAAGATGGCTCCAGCAGTATTCTTGATAAACCATTGTGTCAATGCGGAGGATGAAAAGGAATTATGGTTTGTTCTAAATGGTGTGCCCATTAGATACTCCATCGTTGAACACGCTCTCATATCCGGATTGAAATGCGGTGAGTATCCGGATGGATGGGAATATATGAGGAAAAGCCAGTTTAGAGTGAAGACTTTTGAAATCGAAAGGTATCTAAGGAGAGTGTGATAAGACATCTCGAGAAGACGCCAACTCAAAGGGCTGCTGATAGGAAGAAACTGGCTGTTATCATGTTGCTCGGTGGAATACTGGATCATGGCACCACAGATGAGTTTATAAACCATGATTTGGTGGATATGGTGGATGATTTGGCTTTCTGTGAGAGATTTCCATGGGGACGCTACACATTTGATAGAATGATTAATCAAGTAAGAAAGAGTTTCGGAAGTGGAGGGCCAAAGAAGAAATGGCACTGTCGTGGGTTTATAATCCCTCTTATGGTAAGGGTTTTTCACTACGTGTATAAATGAAAAGTACCGTTATTACATTGATTTGTTTTGGAATTTAATATTTACACAATATGGTACAGTTGCTTCCTTTCGAATGCATATCAAATTTGGGTGCCAACGGGATGTACAAAGACGTCGAGGGAGCGGATCCGACGTGTCCCAGAATGTGCAAGAAGTCTGTCAAAGCAAATGTTAGATGGAGTTTCAAGACTGTTATAGACCAGATTGGCACTAAAGCAAAGGTACGCAGAAAATAGGACATGGTGTGTTGGTCACAGGTTTCATGGTCACATGATACCATGTAACTCGGTCACATGGTACCATAACCTATTTGGTCACATGGTACTATTTAACTCGGTCACATGGTACCATAACCTATTTGGTCACATGGTACTATTTAACTCGGTCACATGGTACCATAACCTATTTGGTCACATGGTACTATTTAACTCGGTCACATGGTACCATAACCTATTTGGTCACATGGTACTATTTAACTCGGTCACATGGTACCATAACCTATTTGGTCACATGGTACTATTTAACTGTCACTTGATGCATATGGTAACAATAAGTCTCATATATTTTTCAGGGAATTAAGAGCATTCTTAAGAAGGAAGCGACAGAAGAAGCTCTTCTTTTTGATGTAGAGGATCTCGATGGAAGTGAAGATCCAACGGTTAAAGTATGGATGCAATATCTTGAGAGGAATCCGGAGAGCATATACTGGAAAAAAATCCATGAAATGGAAATTCGTTCCAGAAAATCTTCAAAGAAAAAGAAGAAGGGGAAAAGCTTGGTAGATGAAGATGAAATAGAAGATGAGGGACGAGAAGAAGAAGAAGAAGAAGAACAAGAACAAGAAGCACAACAACGACAACAACCGCAAGAAGGAGTCATACCACCACAAGGGATACAAAAGGGAGCACAAAGAGTTCACGGAGTGTCAAGTCTCGAAGCACTGAAGACCGAATTGAAGGCCGATTTCAGGGCCGTGGCTAAAGCATCGGAGATGAGAATCATCGATGCTGTGAGAGGGCTTTTAAAGGAGGTTGGACTCCTTGGAAAAGATGGATTTGTCCCAAGTCCCACAGTGCAGGAGAACCCGGTGATAGATCCGGTAGATAAGGACATATCCACGCCCAGGTCCACAGCGACGCCCAGGTCCACAGTGCAAGAGATTAGAAAAAGTCCTATTGCGAAAGAAAGAGTTACGACAAGTCCTTTGATGTGTTCTGTCGGTACCGACGAATACTATGATCAAGATGTTGGACTTTTTGAGTTAAGACCGAGAGATGTGACTCCATTGGAGTCAGAAAAAGAGAAGACAACTGCCCAGGAGGCATTGGTTACAGAGAAAGAACCGTCTCCTAAGGAGAAAGAGGCATCGAGCAAGGAGAAAGAGCCCTCGCCTAAAGAGGTTGATCTTTCTTCCATGGACGCAGAAGTAGGAAGTAAGTATTCAAACTTTGTCATTTGGTCACATTA